GTGATATTTGCTTAAATTAAATGACATTAGTTATGAAATTAGATTTCGTCTTCTTCTTCATTTTCTTATTTTGCTGTGTCTCCTATTGTTTGTTTGTCACAAGGCCAACGTTTCTATTATTATTATTATTATTATTATTAACACTAATGTCGTCTTTTTATAGAATTACCGTTAAAAGCTCACAAGCGAAATATGCAATTTTGTCTTTAATGTTAATTTACCGATACTTTTTCTTTTCATTTTTTTTTTTTTTCTTTTTAGAAAATTATAATCAATTTAAAAAAAAAATACATTGCCAACTGGAGTAGTGTATAAAGGAAAAGTGGTAAATATGAGAAAAAATATTAAAAAAAAAAACTACTACTATTAGCAAAAATGATATATGGTGAGTTTGTAAAATTCTTCTTCTTCTTCTAGAATTCAATAGATTAATCTAAATAGTGAGCGGAGTTTGCGAAACCTCTATCTACGCATCTTTAAATGAGCAAATGCCACTAACACTTTGAACAAGAAGAAGAATAAAAACCAAATGACGCGAATTTATTAATTAATTGTCCTACCACGGAGTGCACAATCTCTCAATTCCTCAGAACTGAAACCAAAATGAGAACCCAACGCCACTTCACTTCAAACCTTCTCAATAGAGAAAGACGCGGATGTCTTAAATGCTCAGTTACTAACCAGCACATAAAAGCTAATATTTATGTACACAATAATTTTTGTTTCCGAAAGTCTACATTAACAAGCAACATGCAGCAACTTGATTTGTATTGAATGTCCGAGCAAGGCAACGTAAATTAGATATATAAAGACGAAGTTCAGTGAAGGTAAGTAAATCTTGAATGAGAACCATTTCTATATTCCTCTTTTACTGTACTCTCTTAGCTAGTCTTAAATGTAAAGTTGAAAAACATTAAATTTCTAACAATATACCGTAACTTACAAAAAATATAGGAGCCATACTTTTCCAAGGCATACTTTAACCCAGACTACCCAAATGTTTCATACCAATTTAGTGTGTCCGAATACTATTAAAGAACGACGTTTTGTCGAGAAATTTTGAAAATTGCACCTTTTTGTCTATGTAACGAATTTTCAAAATAGGCCGATAAGGGGGAAATGGTCGAAAAACTCGCCCTCACGGATCATCAAAGCTGATTGTGAAACTAATTCAGAAAATAATTCTCAATCGGCAGGGATAATAAGGGTGCAAGATGCAGGATATAATGATACCTGATCCTGTCCAATGAAAACTCAAAATTCGCCCCCAAAATAAAACTACTGTAGGAGCTGCCAACTGGTGGATTTCTTCAAGACTCCGCTCAGGAGAATATCATTGATCCTTAAAAATATCGTGATAGAACCCCTACAATTTGCCTATCATGACAACCCTTTAAGCGGTTACCTGTATCGATCTCTTCGGAAACTGTGCATTTAATTAAACTATTATGTAACGAAATAACTTTGCAAAAAAAACATACGCACACATTTTAAAACGCATTCTATGAGAATATCCGACGACGACGGACGGACGGATTAAATGTTTAATACGTCTATAAATAATGTCGATGTGAAAACAGTCTATGAATTTTTCAATTAGTTCAATAATTTACATACACATATATAAAGAGAAATATATGTATGTATCCTATTTATCTAAGTTGACCGTACACTCATAAATTATTGTATTTTATTTAAGTAGAGCCGCAAAAACAATCGCTAAAGTTTTATTATCTGCTCCCCTGCGCTTTCACGCGAACCGCAACTCGAACGGCAAGTTTTAATCATCTTGAATATCATGCACAAATATTTGTGAACATAATATAACTACAAAAAAATAAATAATAAAAAAAAAGAGAAAACAAAAAACGAAAGAACCGACACTAAAGCAAATTCAAAATTCAAAATTTTTGCCGTTCTTCCGTGAATGCAGGAAACAGTCAAATAATTGCATACCACACGCTGAAACAAACATGAACACGAACAATAAATGCAAGTGCCAGCAACAGATGCTGTATTCAAAGAATTTGCTTATATACTGCATGTACGCATGTATGTATTATAAAAACCGCGATACGCAACTATTGTGCTCATCATGAATGCATACATAGTAATGGAGCGATAGTAGTAGTAGTAGTAGTAGTAGTAGTAGTAGCGGTGGTAACAGTAGCAAAGCTTATATAATAGTGAACCGTATGTGCATTTTGTGGTCTCTCTCTCTCTCTCACATACATAGCCATTGTTTTCATAAACACTTTATTATCATATTTAGCGCTAGCAAGTACGAGTACTTTGGCAATGAATATAGAGTTACGTTGACGTCGCCTAAAATCCTTAAATGATCCAAGCCAACCCAACCCAAGCCAAGCAAAGCCAAGCCAAGCCAAGCCAAGCCAAGCCAAACCAAACGCCAAATTTACTACAATAAAACATAAAAGAATAAACAAAAAAAAAACGACAACACGATATATGTATGAAAGCAAGAGGAAAGATAACAACAATGAAACCTCTCCCAAAATTTTAGTGATTAAACGTTCATCTGCATTTTAATATAAGCATAGAGCAAAGCAAAGGTGACACATAATTGCTCGTTACCATGCATACGAAGAACGTAAGAACAATTTAACAAATACCGCTACCGTTACAAAGAGGTATCGAGCTAGAAGGAAAACACTCGAACACTTCTACACAAAATGTTTGCCATAATTAAAGGTTATTGGTATCAGGTCACGTTGCAACCCGTTCATCTACCGTTTCATATTTATTTATTTATTTAGTTAACGATGCTGGTTTGCCAGCGTAATTCTTTCGTTCGTAGAGTTCGTAACCTTATGGTAATCACATAAGAATGCGTACATAAATAAAACATGCACAAAATTCCGAGTAATTTGTAATTCAATAAACACAAAACTAACAAACATTTACTGTTGCGGAATAAAGGAAAACATACCTGTGCACTTTTAAAGTCTGTTTATTGTCAATCCGTATGTATTTTAATTATATTCTAACAATTAAACGCTTTTACGTTCCCCGGGTTCAGTTTTAATTTGAATTATCTGCTCTGAGGCTAAACAAAATAAACATACGTTTATGTATCCCACGCATATGTACAGTGCTTTGTATGCGTAAATACCTTCCGGTACTACAACACTACCACTGCTAGTACTACTAGTACTACTACTACTACTACTACTACTACTACTACTATTATTATTACACGATAATGTGTATATACACATATATATATATATATATATATGTGAGTGTGTATTCGTTCCCTATGCGTCGTTAGTACGCATACCTATAGCCTTTTTGAAGGAAAAAAAAAAAAAAATCACTTTGTCATTAGTTTTATTGTCCCTTATGCCCCAAAAATTTGTTATGAAGTTTCGTTGTGATTCTCTTAGCAAAGGCGAATAAATGAATGACTGAATGAATGAATGAAGGAATGAGTGAATGAAAATTAATGGATGCTTATATTGCGCGTGGTTGTTTGGTTGCGTTTCATATCATATGTGACATTTACCTGAAATGTTTATTGCTTTATGTTACAACATTTAAGGAATTGTCAACATTCTGCAATACAAAAACAATAAAATGTCGCAATGCTTTAACCTTGATACGGTGGAAGGATAGATTTACAAGCATTTCACTATTTGACGTAACGAAACAAATTTCAGGCCTATTTTCATATAAAATATTGTAAAATACATGAATGAGACAATGTTGTCGTTGCGCTTGCAATGCGCATACAATAAACAAGTTAGATTTATATTGAAAGGCACTGAACCTTATACATACAATTTTTGAAATTTATTATCGATTGTAAGCTCGTCAACCTCGCGTCTCTTCTGATGTCATGGAAAATATGTATTTGCTTTGATTTCAAAAAATAATTATATATCTCGTCCGATGAAATTAAAATATTAATAGAGGCAATGAACATGTGTTGGATTATGCGGTCAAACAAACAATCAAGTATTTTAGATTTTCTCGAAAAACGTTTATTTATTCAATATTCAATCTGAAAGGAAAACTTTCTTATACATACATACTTTTCCCAAATAAACGTTCTTCGCGGTTTTCTACCACTAGATGGTGTGGATGCCTATTTATCGGGAAACAGTTATCTGTTTGTGTCTGTTGTGCTTAAGAGGTAAAATTTCACCTTACGTTTCCCGCGAAGATAGTTTTCTAATTCTCTGCTCGTGTAAAAAGCTATAATAATTTGAAAACGAATGAAATATCCGAAGAAATACGATATTTGATGCTTTTTTGCTATAAAAAAAAATATGTGAGAACGCTGTAAGTGAACGAAGAGCCCAGCGGCTACGATCGGCCAGCTACTGAAAAAGGCAATGAAATGTCGCAACTGATGAAGCAAGACCGGCAGCACACAAGCTGTCTGGAAATAGCAGAGGCACTAAACACCAACCACATGGTAGTTTGGAATCGTTTGGAAAGAACGGGGTACAAAAACAAGTTTAAAAGAAAACCAAAAAGCCACGGACACCCTTTATATCACTCATTATTTTTTACATTGCTATTATTATTATTTTACATATGTTATATTTACAGTTTGCAAGGTACTCTTGGAACGCTTGTCTAAGTGTTTTCATTAAGATTTAAGATTTCGCTTTTAGTTTTTCCTAATTCTAAATAGATTCGAAGGGAGCAAAAATATGAAAGGTAACCGTTGTCTGGTACGATCCCAAAATGAATTTGTGTTTTACTAAAAATGATTCAGTGCTTTAGAAAAACGGAGGGTAATCACTTAGGCAAGAGCTAGTTTTCGCTCCGGTGTTCGGCAGAAAGGGAAACGAAAGCTACATTGTTCCTACGTACAGAACACTGAAAAGTTATACGATTTTCTTAATATCAGTAAACAGGAAAATGCTTGCAATTGCGTAATGTATTAAACTCAAAGTAGCGCTCAATCAAAATTCTCGTATATTTGTATGCACTTACATAGATATATGAGTAAATAATATATCACTTACCTTTAACAATGTTGCTTCACGGGTTAAGGTTCACTTTGTTCACAACTTTTTTCGATATTTATTTAAAGGCTTAGAAAACTTTTCAATCGAAAAAAAATTCATGAAATCCTACATGGCAATGATAACAGGTAAGTGGGAACTTAATGTTTACTCGTAATGTAAATTCGCAAATTGCGAGTGCCAAAACCCCTGTACGAACAGACAAACAGAAGGACAGCTAAATCAACTCGGAATAATCGTACAGAAGTACTCTAAATTGACTCCTTCTTGATAAGAGCCATCCACAATAATTAAATTTTTATACCCGCAAAGATTACGCCAAAGGAAACTCTCGCCTAATTGGAATATTTTACATTTTTATATTTTCTAAGCCTTTACTGCTAACACATAAAGTATTATTTGTTCTTGATTATTTTTTTTCTCTTTTTAGTTTACTTTGATTTATAATTATTTAAAATTTGTTTTTGGATTTTTACGCTTACAATTCCGTTTTTTTTTTTTTTTTGTTACATTCACGCGCGTGTAGTGTGTACGTTTAATGCGTTCATTCTTTATACAGCGAAAATTTCTTTTTCCTAAACCATTTTCATATATGATTTGTGATTTAGAAATTTTTTTTTTTTTTTTTTTGTTATAATAAAATAATTGCACTTTTTTTAAATAGTTTATGATTAAATAAAGATAAATCATGAATAATCGATTATATAAATCACTTAGTATGAAAACGTTCATTTTACTTTCACTTGCAAATATACTTTTGTATTATAAATTGCATAAATATATAATTATTTTTGTCCCACTCTTGCGTTTTGATATTTCGAAAGAGAATGAAAGAAACATAAAAAAATATTTCGCTAACCATTTTATGTTTTCGTAGATTTTCCTACATTCTAAGCCGGATATTAAGAGGCTTTTGATTGACTCTTTTCGCCCCTTTATTTTTACAATTTTTTAATAGAACTTTCATACGTTTAACAAATAAAAAAAAATAATAATAACTAATGGACTCCCCAATGTCAAGTATTAGGTAAATCTTTTCACTTTTCGCACACGCGCTTACTATTTTATTAACATTTGCAGATGGACTATTATTATTTTGTGTTTTTTACCTTTCATTTATTTTTACGATCATATAAGCGGAAATTTCCTTTTTTTTATTACATTTAGTTTAGTTTAGTTTATTTTATTTCATTTTTTATCTCAATTTCTAAATTTGAATTTCGTCTCAAATGAATATCAAAGTCATAAGTAATAAGTTTTTTTGTGACTGTTTCCTAATATTTTATAAAACCGCCGCGAAGAACCTTCATACGACCATACTTTTCTCTTTGCAAATAAAAACTAATTTCTTAAATTTCCCACGATTTAAAATGGCATGAAAATTCTCGCCAATTTTAATCATATCTAGAGATTAAAAATAATGTAACTCTTTCAATGTAATGTAAATAAGAGATCAATCATAGAGTTCGAGTTATTTCTAATAAAGAGAACCATACTTAAAGAGTAGCTTCTTCTTTGCTTTGTTACATTGCGATGGACATGAAGTCTTTTACTGACTTCATGCGCATACAACGGAGATCTAATTGATTTTCTAATTGGTTTTTATAACCAGTGGTTTTTTCTTCTCATTGCAAAGACAATACTCTCTTTTAAGTCTTGATCTCATTCAAATCTTTTTCTTGCTGCAATAGATTGCTTGATAAATATCAAAATTGAGATTCATACAAATTCTTTTTTACTCTTTAAAACTAAAATTAATTTTAAAAATAAAATCTAGGCGGCATATATTTGTTAGTAATAGAGCAATAAAATAAAATCAAAGTGTAACAAAATCATTAAGCAGTGAGTTGTAAGAAAAAGTGTTAAAATTGATTAAAAACTAGAAATAGTGAAATAAGAAAATTGAATAAAATTTTAGCAAATATATACATAAAACTTTAATAAGAGAATTTTTGTATGAATTCGTTGTCGAGTTGTTGTAAATAAATCCGAAAATCAGACTTTCAGTGTATTTTCGGTGTTCGGGTCTTTTAGTAATCGTGAAAGGCTCTCGTGGCCGTGCAAGTTTTTTGTCCCGCAATGATTAACTGCCCCATACCAAAATATAATTTAATAGAATATGTAGGTAAAAAGTACACCTAAATACGAAAACATTATAAGAAAAAATGACCTCGAAAACGTAAAAGACTTCGTTAATAAAAGTAGATTGCGTTGTTGTATAAAACTTTCTGTTCAAATGAAAGAGAAAAAAAGCGAAATGTAAGACAGGAAAAATTCAGCGAAAAGCGAACTTATTAAGGAAACTATATATGTGTGTGAACTTAATAAAGTGATGCGATATAACTTTAGTAATTTAAGCAATTTGCGAAATTGTAGCCATAAAAATTGTTATAAATCAAAGTAAATTAAAAAAAATTATTAAAAAGCAAATAATACTTCAAGTTTAGTAGTAAACGCTGCGGAAATATAAAAATGTAAAATATTTTAATTTGGTGAGAGAGATCTGAATCCGTTTCGTTTAGTGTGTACTTTGTACAAATAAAAGTAGTTCTTAAAATTCTGATTGCACTTAAAGCCATTCCTGTCATATGAAATTTAATATATATAATAGCTCTTATCAAAATGGAGTCAAAGTTTATATTACTTCTCTACGATAATTCCGAGTTGATTTAGCTGTCCGTCTGTCTGTTCGTACAGGGCTTTTCGCGATCACAATGGGTGAATTTACATTACGATTAAACATTAAGTTTCCACGTGCTTCTTATCGCTACAATATACAAATTATTGCGCATCCATTAATGTATAGTATTTTTCTTGATCTACAAGTTTTCTAAGCGTTTAAATAAATATCGAAAAAATTTGCAAAGGAAGTGAACGTTAATCCATGAAGCAACATTGTCAGAGGTAAGTGATACACTATTTACGCTCTCATACGTATATGTAAGTGCATATAAGTATGCATATATGCAGAATTTTGATTTACCGTTATTTTATTTTTAAAACATTACGAAATTGCAAGTAATTTCCCGTTTACTGCGATTGAGAAAATCATGACGAAACTTTTTAATTAAACATCATATTCAAGAAGCAAATTTTATGAAGTTTTACTTTCTGTTTTTCTTTATCTGCTGAATTATTTTAATACAATTGAGGTAGAATGTGAAAGAGAGAGAGAGAGAGAGAGAGACGCTAAGGAATATGGTATATTTTTTCTTTGCCAAGTTAATATTTAAGGATCAATGAACATTTTATGCGATATCTGAAGATATATCATACATTAAAGAGCGCTTACGCAGGAACTTATGGCAATGTATACCAATCGATTTTTTTTGTGATAGCAGATTAACAAACTTTTCTGTGGAGGAAAGTAAACCCTCACCCTATACTCATCACCGAAGAATAAGAGGTATATTTAAGTTGGCAAAACGTTTGTAGCATCCTGAAGGATGCATCATAGACAACACAAGGTGTATTTATTCTTGCTCAGAATCAAATTCTGAATCGGTTTAAGCGTGTCGGTCTGTTTCTCCATTTCGCTGTCCGTGTTATATTTGTGGTTGGCATTCTCTTGTTCACAAAAATGCAGAAATCGGCATAAAATTTGATACACAGATTAACGCAATCAAGTTGATATCGACATTGAATCGAATCGGTCGAAGGACACTTCCAGGTTGCAATATAACTTCCGACCACCTGTATTTTCAAAAATAAAATAAATTTGTGTTTTTGTTCGTTACTCGCAAACCATAACAGATACAATAAGAAATATTTGCCTTTACATCTTCTCTTCAGAGGAGATGTAAAAAAAAAAAAGAGAGGCAAAAAAAAAAACTGTCCAGATCTCCTCAATATTATGGAATAGTAGGAAGTTGCATTCTTTTATGAAAAAGTTTGCACCAATCGAAAAGAAGTTTCAAGGATCAAATAAAGCCTAGATTTCATTGATCGGTGATTGGGGATTCGGTCACGGCTGAATACAATTTTCTTACTTGTTTGATGCCCATTATTACAATATTAAAAGCTTGCTCAAAATGACGCACATGTTAACTTAGCCGGAAATATTAATAAATAATATTTTAGATAATTAGAGACGACGATATTTGTAGATATGTTTTCGAATTCGATTTTAAAAAAAAATCTCGATTTTCAGTTAAGTTTGGGCCAAACTTGATACAGCTTGAATTTCCAAATTAATCTGATTACAAGGCATCATGAGAGCATATGTGATCATCCTTGCATCTTTGCTCTTCTAAGGCGAATTTTTGAAAGGATCGTTGGAAAACACCTTCATCGGCTTAACTCACTTCACTATCTAAAGCTTATAAAGTGCAACCAAGTATATATATATTTCTTTAAGTTGCGATATTTTAATAAATCTATTTTTTGTCTCTCTCTAATTGGAGATAATGAGATTATATCTCAACACAATGTAATAATCTTTGTTCTTTCCTTTTTGGAAAATTGCGCAATTTTGATTAAAAATTTAATATGAGAAAACTGTGATAAGATGTACACAGTTTAAATGAATACTGATCTGTATATTGCAAATGCATGTTAAAATAATCACGTTTTTTGATGGACAAAAGTAAATTTTACGGACATACGTTACTAAAATGGAAACAAGCAAGTAAACTAGGTCTGCAATGGGTGTGTGAGTGACAAGTGAAGCATAAGCTAAAGAATTTTAAATACATACATGAAGTGAGTCTATACCTACATGCAGGAACAATTATAAATTTCAAGGCACGGTTTGCCAACAACAGAATACACACAATGCATATATATGCGTATGTAATAAGAAAGAGAACTTGATATGAGTATCTCCGTCTTTCCGTCTTCGACAAGGAGCTATATTGAGGTGAAATGGCGCGATAGTTAATGAGAGTAATAAGAGAATCTTGTCCGATTTGGATAAATTTGCCATGTTTTGCTAGGAATATTTTATGACTGCTAGACTGAAAAGCGTTAAGCGTCCTTGGTATTAGACAAAGAGGGCAGATCACTTTATTGCTCTCATATCTCGATATATCGATATCGGAATCATTTCCTTCCTTCTCCCGTCTCTAACATTTGCTTATTACTCTTTGCACGTTAAGCAACGAGATTCTCAATTTATTTAACCGTATATGGACAAACGCTGCATTCGCTTTACCACTTGTTGTCGATATATGAAATTCTACTAACGAAGAGAAGAAGCAAAAACATGGTCTTTATGCATTTAGATAGCTATTCAAAGATCATTCTCTGCTAAAATCTCAAAATATTCCGATCACTAAATTATAAAGCATTATATCTCGCATTTCGACCTGAATCGATGTCAAAGTCTGGCAGTTATCTCTTATTCTCTCTAAACCGTATAAAAGTTTCGCATATGTCTGTTTTCTTT